TAGTATATAAGGGAGACAAAAAACCTTGTAATGGGGCATCGATACTCTGGGAAACTTACCATTTTTGAAGGAAAAGAAACTTAACAACCATCTTCTCTTTATCTATTATTATTCATTCTAGAGATTATCATCTTCAGCTAGGATTTACCCCTTCATCTTCGATTGATTTGTTCAAAAGGGTTTCAACATTTTTTGAGCCAAACACATGTATTATTTTTTCTAATGCATCATACCAAACGACCTCTAAGGGTGACTACCATGTCCATTCAGATATCGGTGTTAAAAAACTTAAAACCAGTAACAAAAATCTAAACCCATTATCAAACTTAAGGACCAAAAGTATGGCAACTTTAGCAAACTTATGAGATTAAAGAGGTTCAAAAGAAAATTTAAAGGACTAAAATCGACTTACCTCAATAGATAAGGGACAATTTTGGCTAAAAAATTTCAAATGGACATATATAGTTACGTGCCATGAACTAAAAAAGTTACGCGCCAAAGTTATATTAACATCAATTTATATTAGTTAAGCAAAATTAAATTAAAATATGTTAATTAATGAAAATTAAAAATGATAAAATTATATACCTATTGGTTGGTCACTTGGTGTAAATAATGGGTATGAAACTTTTTTCCCTTCAAAATAAGATGGATTTGATCAAATTTGATACCAATCTATAGGGAACATTGATGTTTTCATTTTCGAGTAAAATTCAGTTAATCCTCTAAAGCTTATAAATTATTACCTCAAATTTGTATTATCTATTTTTTAAGATTTTTATAGACTCATAAAAAATATATTTAATATCCTTAATCACTAGAGTGTTTGCCTAATGTCACGATCCGGAATTCCTACTCTCGAGATCGCGATGGCACCTAACATTTCACTTGCTAGGCAAGCCAACGTTAGAAATAGTTTTTAACAATTTTTAACAATTCAAAACTAAATAATAACCCAAAAACTGAATAAACCAAAATAGAGTGAGAAAAATCATAATGACAGTGATATCTTGATACAATCCCAGAACTGGTGTCACAAGTACACGAGCGACTAGAGTACTACAAATAATAGTCTGAATGAAAGTATAACTGTCTGAAAAATAGTAAACAACTAGAGAGATATGAAAGAGAACTTAGGGTTGTGGACATTGTGCAGTTGCACCTCAAGTCTCCGCCAAGCAATCAATCTGAGCAATCTACTGACAACCACTAGGACCGACCCCAAAATCTGCACAGAAGTACAGAATATAGTATGAGTACAACCGACCCCATGTACTCTGTAGGTGCCGAGCCTAACCTCGATTAAGTAGTGACGAGGTTAAGGCTGGTCACTTACAATAACCTGTACGTAGTATAATAATAATACAATAGGAAAGGAACACAGGAAATAATGATAAAGCAATTAACTGACGAAAGCAAACTCAATCCTCGAAATCAGTGAAACCTGAAATATCAGTCCTCGGAATCTGATATGAAAATACTGAAAGTTAACACAATACAACAATGAGTACAACATACACAATATGTTGCGGCACGCAACCCGATTCCACCGTACAAACACAATCTTCCCTTATTTCACTATATCAATATAAAAATAATATGTAAAAATCATTGCGGCGCGCAACCCGATCCCACCGTATAATCAGAATCAACATCATAATTCTCCCTTATTTCACCATATCAAAATCACATATAAAATCTGTTGCGGTGTGCAACTCGATCCCACCATATCAATATCAATCCTCCATTATTCCACCCGTTGCAGCGTGCCCGATCCATAAATAAAAATCAATAAATGTAATCAATTCAACAGAATCTCTACGATTAAAGAGTATGAAAGCAAAGCCATAAAGGAACCCCATGCCAAATTAAGGAATGCTACAATTAATACAAAGCAGCAAGTCAAGCCAAATATATGATAGTTAAGGTGCACAATTAAGACAAGTAAGGAAAATAGCAATTAATCATGGAATCACGGAAGAAACAAATATTTCAATACAAGAGTAAATAGATGACAAGTAACAAGTTACGGCATATAAAACAATTAAGTCATGTAACAGTTAAGACATGGAATAAGATAATTAATGAAATACGGGAAAGCATGAAAACAATTATTTTGACGGACCATATACACTCGTCACCTCACATATACGCCGTTACACATGTAATTCACATAACATATAGTTCAAGTGTCCCTAATTCCCTCAAATTAAGGTTAGACCCAATACTTACCTCGCTCCGCAAGCAAATCAAAGCTCAACCGGGACCTTTTCTCTAAAATTCGCCTCCAAACCAATCGATTCTAAACAAATTTATTTAATATCAACAAACAATGCGAGGAAAATAAATCACAATACATAAACCTAATATTTTTACACATTTTCCAAAAAGTCAACCCCAGGCCCGCTTGGTCAAAACCCGAGATTCGGACCAAAATTCAATTACTCATTCATCCCCGAGCCCGATTATATGATTAGTTTCGAAATCCGATCTTAATTTGAGGTGTAAATCTCAATTTTACAAAACTCCCAATTCATCCCAAATTCCTAATTTTCTACCATGAAAGAGCATAAATTAAGGTTAGAAATCAATGGGTGTTGATAGAAATGGAAGAAAACGAGTTAAAGTATTCTAACCTATGAAATGGTGATAGAATTTCTCTTCAAAATCGCCTCTAGGGTGAGCTCTAATGAGAAGATGGTGAAAAATGAGTGAAATCCCGATTTTTAGAAGTTTTAAAGTATAGGCATAAGGTGTTCTTTGCGTTCGCGAAGCACCTGACACGTTCGCGAAGAGTACTGGCCAAAAGGCCATCGCAATCGCGGTCACCTCTTCGCGTTCCCGAAGGCTTAGCCCCCATTGCCTTCGCGTTCGCGAGCCTGGGCTCGCGTTCGCATAGAGTGACCTGCCTAGCTCCAATAGAACCCCACAAATCTTTGTGTTCGCGTGCGGGTGGTCGCGTTCGCAAAGGGTAAGCCCCCCAAAGCTTCGCATTCGTGACATGTTCCCCGCGTTCACGTAGAGTAAACCACCCAGCCCCAAGTTTTCCCTCCGCGGTCGCGAAACACAAAGCACCAGGTATCAACAATAATGAAAAACCAGCAATGGCCTAAGTCCAAAAATCACCTGTAGCCTATCTGAAACTCAACCCCTCGGTCTTCAAACCAAACACGCACACAAGTGTAATAACATTATCGCAATCAAAACACCAAAATAACAGCTAGAATTACGAATCAAACACCAAAACGAATCGAATTTTCAAAGAAACTTAAGAACTTTCATTTAACATCGGACGTCCGAATCACGTCAAATCAACTCCATTTTGCACCAAAATTTGCAGACAAGTCATAAATACTGAAATGAACCTATAACAAGTTCCGAAACCAAAATCTGAGCCCGGTAGCAACAAAGTCAACCTACGATCCAACTTAGGAATTCTTTAAACCTTTAAATTGCTAGTTTTCAACAAATTATGTTAAATCAAGTTAGGAGCTTCCGAATTCGATTTCGGGCATATGCCCAAGTCCCAAATCACGATACGGACTCATTGGGACTGTCAAAAGACTGACCTGGATCTGTTTATACAAAAAATATTGTTTGTAGTCAACTCAAATGAGTTTTAAGGCAAAATTTCACATTTTCTTTAGTTTTTCACATAAAAATTCTCCCAAAAAAAAACACGGACTATGCACGCAAATCGAAAAATGCTAAATGGAGATATTCGAGGTCTCAGAACACATAAATGAAGGCTAAAACTGAAATTGACCTATCGGATCATCACAACTAAATTATCTTTGGTCTATCTTTATTAAATATTTTGAATAAAATTAGCTAACTAATATTTGGGACTGCGAGAGTAATATTTACTAATGCACTACTTTTTTATAGTAAAGAATACTCTCTTCACCTTTAAATGAAATAGACTCCTTTGGATAAAGATTTTCTGTTACTTTTAAGGCACGTTAAAAGTATGTTCTATATATTTTAGCATTTATTATAATTATTTCTTAATTCTTACTTTCAACAAATTATACATGCGAAATCTCTATGAAGAACTATTTGAGACGATTAAAAATTCATGAAAAAACTTAACTACAAAAGACTACATAGTTACCTGATACAATTCTATTATTGAAACTATACATGTAACATCTTCAAATGAAAGGGCAAGTTGTAGCAAATTCTTAAGGTTCGAATTTCTAGCCGAAAAATCACATTAATAAAAGAACTGGTATGGAAATTTGAAAGGAAGCTAACGGAGAGACTGAGGTACAGAGTTTTAATTTTTATTCGTTATTGGGAAAACTTGAAGTGCTTTTTCCTCTAGTTAAAAAGCTAAATTTTGCCTCCATATAAAGTATAGTAAAAGATATTTTGACCTTTTCCTTTTTATAGATATTTTTGATCTTTTGAAAACTTCATTAACAACTCTCTCATTTTTTTTTCTGTTGACTTTTACCGAAAAGGTTTTACCTCACATTCATTAGGTAACTAAAAAGAGTATTTATTTTCTACAAAAAAGTTATGAGTTGACTGAAATTTCTATTTATTTGCTTACCAAATATTTTAAATTGTTCAGAGCAATCCATGAATTACGTGAATCCTCCTTGGTTCCTTTACCATAACACTTTTGGCCATCCAAGGGGACCATCATTTTTTTGTGGTTATATTTTAAAGAGCAAACAAAAATCTATACTTGGGTAATTAATACGGAGAAAAGGCCTAAACTACCCCTATAGTCTTCGTCCAGGTGCACAAATACCTTCCGTTAAATATTGAACCCATCTGTGTCCCTGCCATTATTCAAACCGTGGTATTATTGCCCCTCTAGGCTAACTGACGTATCTTTAGTCTTCTGCTACCATTAATAAGTCTCAATTAATGTTAATCAATTCTTACCAACCCCACCCTTTTTACCGACCCCACCTCCTTTTATTTACTCATCATCGCTTCTTTCCTTTCTTCTTCTTCTTCTATGATTTCATTAATCTCAACTCAATTTTTCTTGCCATCTCATAAACTTTGAAATAAGTTTAGGTTTAGGGTAATTTTTCTGTCATCTTCAACATCCCCACCCATAAAGAAAATATCTGAGTGTTCTAGTGTCTCAACTGGGTTGAGGAGAAATTGTTATTGTGGAAAGGCTGCTAGCTATTTTGTTGTTTGGACTCTGTTAAATGCTGGGAGACGATTTTTCAAGTGTTCAATGTCTGAGGTAAGTCTCAATTAATTATGTGTAGAATAAGATTAGTTTACGGGTAAATGGTGATTTCTGGATAATTCTTTGTGATATTTGGACAGGGAAAAAAATGTTCTTATTGGGAATGGGAGGATGACGAGCTTCCTCCTAGAATCATAGAACTGATCTGCAAGTTAAAAAAGGAAAAAGATAGTCTTCGACACGAAAAGAATATTTTGCAGCGAAGGATGGTCGATCTTGAAAATTATGTGGCCGAAAAAATTGAGAAGATGAAAGAAAATGATGATTTAAAGAAGACAGTTGCAGATCTTGAGAATTTACTGGCAGTTGACGTTGGGTTGATTCAAAAGTTGAAGGATAAAGTATTCAAGCAATGGATTATCATTGGAATATCACGGTGTTGCTTTGTTGGTTTAATCTCAAGTTGGATAATGTAATGTGACTGTCATGGCGCTTCTTTTTTGAAGCAGGAGTAATTTTTCAGAACTTTGAACCCTTCATAGGCTTCATCTTATGTTGATATGTTACCAAGTAAGCATTCTTGCTATACCGCCAATTCATTTCTGTTAGAAGATCATTCTTCTTGTATATCAAAGCCCTTATTGTATGAGGGCAAGGAATACCAGACAAGTCTCAAAGCCTACAAGTACATCTCTTTTGCTGGAGATTGACTGTGTGTCTATCCTCGCCTTCTAATACCTCATATCCACTATTACCACCAAAAATCACCTTACAACCTTGAGCAATTTGCCTATAATCACTAAAGAGTTTCATGCTTTGTGGACTGTAATCAACAGTCCAACTGCTAACCTTAGCTTCATTAGCAACCAACAATTTCATTACTTTTACCCTAATTTCTTCTAACATTTTGGTGATATGCTTGCTCCTAGCCTCCAGTATCCCAACATTGAATGGCTCGTGAAATTGTTGTCTACCATCGTGTTCTTACACTGAGTATCAAGGTAATCTATACACCAAGAAATTGGTGGATAGTGCAATAGATCTTCTGCAGCATCCTTAGACAATTCTCCCAATTTTGACAATTGATCTACAAATTCTTCCTCATAACTACTCCAGACACACCACCACATTAGTTTTTTTTATTTCACCATTTCTCCATTTTTTACACCAATTTACTTCAATATGTCTCATACAATATCTGTGATGTGCTTCAGGCAGCATAGTCTTTACTGCATCTAGCAAACCCTATGATATCAAAGAATAGAATAACAAAAATTAGAGAAATTCATAAAATAAGGAGAACAATTAAAATTCAGAATGCTATAAAAAATATTACTTTCTGCATATCAAAAATAAATGTCACTCCAGTACCATCTTTTAGGTCCAAAGACCTCTGCAGTATCTCCATAAACCAGGTCCATGTCCTGCTATTTTCTTTATCAACTACAGCGCATGCCAATGAATAAAATTGGTTCATAGCATCTTGACCAATGACAACCAACAATTGACCTCTAGCCCTTCCTTTGAAAAAGACCCCTCTAACCCAATAAATGGCCTCAAACTATTTTTCCAACCTTGCTTCAAGGTATAAAAAAAGATGTACATTCTAAGGAATCTTCTTTTTCCTGCCAACAATGCCTCTTTTGATATATTTATGATAACATCACTTCCAGGATTGCTATCCCTAATTTCTTTGGAATATGCCTCAAGCTTCTTGTAATCATCAACAAAGTTGCCCTCTAATTTTTGCAAAGCCAATCTTTTAGCCCTCTTCAACTGCCATTTGTATACATTTAACATGTAATCATCCTCTAGCTCCCCTTTCATATCCTTCACCTTAAATTTTTGATTGTTTTGGATTTTGTTTTTAAAGTAATGAGCCAATGTCGACGCATCATCTCTCTTGTTCACAAAAGCATCATCACAGGTGTGGTTTAGATTTAAAAACTATGACAACCCCCATCTTTGGAGATAAGACAAACAAATGGGCATTCATTTTGCCATGTATACATGGATCTAGTTGTGTCGCTTTTCTTAGTTACCAAAGCTTTCTTATAAGCAGCAGAATAAAAATTGATGACATGTCTTGCTTCATGTATATCCTTAAAGGTCATACCTAAGTATAGATCCATATAATTTTCCAATTTTGTATCTAGATTTTTCCTCCTCTCTTGGTTAAGTATTTCAAGTTCCTCAAGATTATATTCATCATAGTCAGATGCACCACTGAAATAAATCATCACTTTCTTCACCTTCAGTAGCAACTTATACTTGTACATCACGATTTTCAGTATGTCTAATGATATTTAAAGCAACCACAGTAAGCTCGAGGTCATCCCTATCAACAACAAAGAACTCTATAACCTTGAATTGAGAAGAAATGAGAAGCTGAAACGCCCTAATTTCATTATCATTATCAACTACATAATACTTGTCGGATGGACATTTCACTAAAAGTTATTTAACTTCATTAAACTCTAAATTGATGAACTCTTCACTAATATCTCTAACAAACAACAAATCTGGATTAAATCAATCCATTTGTCGACCAGAGAACCACTATAAAGTAACTGAGGTGAATGGACCCAATGACCCCCATAGTTGAAAATAATATCCATTTTATCAATCATCCTTGAAAGAAGCACATGCAAAAAAAGAAACAAACAAACACAGATGGACCACATCAGTTATCGATAAATGACAAAAGAAAACGACTAAAAACATTATAAAAGTAAGATACTAAATCGGGACTAACAAAGACCCAACATAACCATAAAAAGTCACAGGTTTACACAATAAACTATCATTTTCACATGGTTATTGTACCAGAAATAAAATAAAACAAAAAGAACAAGGCTTTTCAGAATCCTAGACCCCGACGGAGAATAAAAAGGGTTTAAAAATTAAAAACAAAATTATAAAAGCTACTGACCTTGATGTTGCGATTGAATCTCAGACATTAATTTTCAACCAATCTCTCCTCGCAATTATGTCCAGCAGTGAAAACCCTAGTTGAAGTGCGGTGAAATTGAAAAGGGACCGATCGATTTTTTCTAAGTATAATAAAGGGGAAAGTGAAAAAGTGGGTACATAAGAATGGGGTCGGGTAAAAAGGTGGGGGGAGGGTTAGTAAAAAAGGGGAATTAATTAGTTCATTTAATTAAGACACGTGGTACACTTAAATTTGTATTAGGCTAAAGTAAGGCCCCATTAGCCTAGAGGAGCAATACTACTACGGTTTGGGTAACGGCAGGGACATAGATGGGCTCAATATTTAACGGAGGGTATTCGTGCACCTAGGCGCAGACTACCGGGGCATTTTAGTTCCTTTTCCGTAATTAATATGTTCTCTCAATCGTATAATATTTATATCTATTCATCTTGATTCAGGTTAGTGGATATATTGATGTGCTTAAAGAAGAAAAATGACCAAATTGTGAATGGTTCGTGGCACTGCTTGAATTGGTCATGGAAAGTATGTATTTAAAAGTTAAGTGTAATGCATTAAGGGGTCGTTTGGTAGGATGCATTAGATAAAATAATGCATGCATTAGTTTTGTGTATTAATAATACCATATTTGGTAGACATTTTGAACCTATGCATTAGTTATGCAAGCCTTACTTATACATCTTATTTGGTATTATCCTATGCATAACTAATGCATATAAAACCATGGTATTAGCAATGCAATGAGTTTTAATGCATGCATTAGCTTAGTTAAAAACAAAATTATCCTTCAAAATTTATGCTTGATTAAAATATGCTAGTTATTATATTAAATACAAGTTTAAAATAATCCAAGTAGTGAGAAATAAAATTATAGCTCTAGTAAATAAATAAAAACTTAATATATTCCTTTTTTTATAAATAAATATTTAGTTCTATATTACAATATATGTAGACAAATCAAATATTTTTTTTAAACTTTTTCATATAAAAATATTTCTCAAAATATGTCTCTTTAGAAATTGTGCAATGCTTTAATACATTAAACCAAACAATGGATAAGAAATATGTCAGCATAACTAATGCAAGCATAACTAATACCAGCATAACTAATACCAGCATTACTAATACACCCTATTCAGCATTATTCCTATGCACCCTACCAAACGACCCCTAAATTGTTTAGGAGAGTTAGTCACTATACCCAAAGTTGAATTGCTAAATGTTCCTCTGTTGTATGATATCTTATGTGGCATTGTTGGGTTAGCATAGTGTTAGGTTGCTCGAGGATGGGCAAGAGCTTAAGTGTGGGGTGATGATGTTTGGATAAAAATTCATATTTTGGCATGTAATGTATCTTGCATTATGCCTCGATCTTATTAAATTTAGTACGAATATTTGTGACCCGAACTTAATAATGATCTTTATATGTGTAGGAGTCAGTCGAAGATGATATGGAAGGATTATATGCAAATTGAAGCCAAAATAGAAGAATTTAAAGGAGTATGGTTTTTTTAGGCACCTTCAAAACTCAAAAGGCAACACAAGATAGAGTGGGCACCGAGCTAGGCACCAGGCGCCCTCCGTGGCGCCCAAGTAGGAACCTTTTTCTATTTCGGGTAGGACTTGGTATTTTCGACCCTACACTCGCCCAATATGTATAACAGGTATTCTAAACCTATTTTTTGGTGAGAGACATTATTGGAGAGGCAAGAAGACTATGGGAACACTTGAAAGCAAGGAATCACGAGTGTTTTCTGTCCATTCTTCCTTAATTTATATTTTAATGCGTTCGATTACTATCATAATTATTTGTATGGTTATGAGTAACTAAACTCATTTATCTAGAGTTTGATGGAACCTCTTGGAGGTTGACTTTTTGTTACGTTTAATGTAATTTAGCCTTTGAATTTCTCTATTTGTTTAACTGTATACTTATTTTAGTTGATTGAATGGCCATCAATTGACTGTACCTATTTATTATCTATTGTTTGGGAAAGAGTACTTATTTAGGTAGTTGTTAAACAACGTCACTCCTAACATATGTGAGGAATCAATACGGCGGGTTTAAAGATGAGATTAGGAGTAATAAAGTCTTGATGTAGCCATAGTGAGTGGTAAGATAGTGTTGGCTAGTGTAGTTTGGGAGAATATGTCTAGTAAATTATTGTAGTTACTCGAAAGAGAATTACGACACATGAAGTGCTCGCAGTTAGTAGAAAATACTTATGCGAAATTATAGGAGACGTAGCGGGAAGAATTCTGAAAATTGAAAAAATTATAACTCTAGACCTACTTAATCGTATTACCAACTTTATCCTCGTTAGTTGATAATTTTATTGCTTTCTAGTATTTGTTAGTTGATTAGTCAGAATAAAAATCTCAATCTTTATAATTTAGAAAATTGTTCAAACTTGTTTTCTTAGCGATATTGAACAGTTGTAGCTAAGTCGTAGTTCTCTCTGGGATTTGACTCCGGATTCTTACACTAAATTTTATTTACAGCGATCGCTTAGTCCTTTTTACAAGGCATAGTTAAGCGTGATCAATTTACTCGATGAAAAAATTTGTAAATGAAATGCTCGAAGTCTATTCTATTTTTCACTAGTAGTCATCCTGACTTTTTACTTGTACTGTTCATTATATAATAACTTTACAATATAACAATCATAAAGACCAAATTTTTTATAGAATTACTTTTTATGCTATATTATAGTATATGTTTTTTATAACATCATTTGATTACAACAATCAACAAAATTCGAACATAAAGAGGTTTAACTGTAATTATATCATGTGAGCAACGGGTATTAACGCCAATGAAGATTCAGATGCCAAACAAATAAATATCTTTTTTTAATTCTAAATGGGTAAATAAGATAGTTTATACAGTATAATTTGAGGTTCAAGTTTTACCATCACTCACCAGCAAAAATATTTACGTGTTAAGCCATATACAGTTGGCAGCGATATTGAGTTGTGACCTCAAACAACAGTCTTTTTAGCGATGATTGTGCGAGATTTTCGGCATTGATCTTGTGTTGTAAGAAAATAAAGAAAGTATTTGTCATATGGAATATAATGACCCACGGTTGAAGGGATCAATAAGAAAAATATAATGTTGGCACAATATTTAAGTCAAACATTAGCGAGTCAATTACACATGGCTTGCATGTTTGAATTTCACCAAAAACCTTTCTATTTCATCCAAATACAAAATATATTTTGCTACTAAAAACCTTGACCTAGTGTTCAAGAGATCTAATTAACGTGGAAGTATTTAAACTGTAAGTTCTTCAATTTAATTTATGCAATACACATAATAGTTGCTTTAAATCCGAGAAGTAAATATAAGAAATTGTTCTAATTTTTGTTCTTCATTAGATCAAATGTGAGGAAGTTAATAGAATACGTAACAATCAAGTAGAATATCAATTTACCTACGTCTTATTGGTCAAATATCTCAATAAAATTACAAATGCAATTATATTTAAGAGGGCGATTGTAAAATAAACAACAGTACGTCAAAAACCCAAATGCTGGCTAAAGAAAACACGCATAATTATGTTAGCAAATTTTGTAAAGCTAATGAACTAATTTAAATTTGTGATC